TGCTGCAGTTTCTTTCTAAGCAGCCCTCAAAAAAAGGATATTCCGATTGACCCGCCATCTTTGAAATATTTCTGAATGCCTCCTGTCTCACAGAAAGCAAACTTGGAAAGGATTTTGACTTGAAATTCTTCAGTTCCTGCAAACTATGTTTTTTGATCCGAATGTTTGATATTGTGACTCCGCCACAGCAACTCCGTGGACTTACTGATTAAGAGGAGCCACAAAACATTAAATGCGGTTTTCATTTACTTTATTCCATCTCTCTAACTCAGCACTAGCCAAAGCTTACGTAGAATCTATTCAATTCAGTTTTTCTCCACACTTCACTTATCGAACAAATGAATGTGGTCGAAATTATCATATGGGTAGCAACTGTCTGCGAAAAGCCCAAATTACACATGGCTTTCCTCTCATAAATTGGCTTCGAAAAAAGATACTGAGAATTCAAATAACGTTTGCGGTAAAAAACATCAGTGAAGCTGGAATTATGTTTTTATGCGTTTTTTTTGCATCTATGCAATGTAAAAACGCATAATGTCAAGGAGTTTCCTGTGTGGGTGTGTGTGTATATGTGTGCGTCTGTGTGGAGCTTTCACCTCGGGATCTACAAAAGCTACAAAACTGAAACTTTGGCAGCTTAATCTTCACACACGTACGGGCCCCTATCACTGCTCATGCTCATGTGCTTCTCACGTACGGGCACGTGAAAGTTTTTTTGGCAAGAAAGCAATTTCAAAAAAACGGTGCAACCAAGAAGGCCAAAACTTTACAAACATACTCCCTGAACACGTTTAATTCGAAGATATTAAATTCAACTTTCACACACCCTTGGGCCTCACGCATGTGCACGTCAAAGATTAAATGGCAACGTGCCAACTCCGTACTCAGGCTGACCAAGAATTTGTTGAGAACTGTAATTTTGCAGCTCTACTTATCGTCCCTGATGTGCTCGTGAAAGTAACTTTAACTTTTCAGTCCCTCTGCATTTCGCGTACAGACACTTGAAAATGCTTCAGAACTGAGCAGCTAGAGGATTGAAATTTTTTGAGCATAACCGACGGTGGCGTCTAACTAGTTAGACGTAAAAACGAATTTCACGTCCCCTTCATTTCTGATGTACATCTCACGTACGCACACATGAAATTTAATGCAGCTCTGCAACCAAAACAGTAGAGCTTTGAAATTTTCTGTGCGAAGCTCAGGACTGTGTTTGAGCAAGCGCATACGAAGACAGCATTCACGTTGCCACTCATGTACGGACACATGAAGTTTGACGTAACTCTTCAACTCTTCAACCAGCGCATCTAGAGTGTTAAATTTTTTGAGAAAGGTTTGGGAATCATTCCAACAATTTCTGACATTCCTGGTGGCCAGTCTCAATTCTTTCAGTTCGAAGCTTTTGCCGGAAAAAACAGTGCCGTTAGCAACAAAAAGTTGCGGGGAACTGTGAAAAAACGCATCTTCACATCAGCAATCGCTGCGCTGGCCAATTTTTTTAAACTGTACTAAAGTACTTTCGCTGCATTCTCAAGAAATTTAAATTTATAACAGTGCTCTATTGTCATTGCAGTACGCTGTGATAACTGGTGCAAAATTCTACGATATACGACGTGGTGTTCCAAGTATTTTGCGATTTTTGAACGTACACGGGCAGATTGAAAACATGATCAGGGATTACAGTAAATGCTTCGATGGAACCGAATAAAACCTACAAAGTGCCGTAATTTCTGGAACCAAAACTCAATACATTTCTGCCAACTTTTTAGACTAATTAATTCAGCTGGCTATGCACACCCTAACAAGTGCTACCTAAAATGGCTCGAAAATATCAAAAGGCAGGCACAGGAATTGCAAGTCATATATAAGATGAAAATGTGAGAGGCAGTTGACTGTATTTCAGAACTATTATACGCTTTAACTGCCTTTCCGTTAAAAAAGCAGTGAATCTGAGCAATAGTCAGGTCAAAAAGCATAAAAATGAATGCCATTTCGATGCCTCCCTTGCACAAAGCTTGTTTGCAACAACGAATTCAAGCAGACTTGGCTTCTCTGTTGGTGTGTGTACGCTAGCCAAAACATTAGCACAACCAGGGAGCAACAAATCTCATTTTTCAGGAACTGTAGGCTAATTTTTCAAATTCAAATAGTTTTTAAATTACGCGTGTTGGCAGTTATTACCTTCTTACTCTGATCAATTGTTGTTTCGTCGTCGTGTTTCTTTTTGTCGTTTTTATCACACTTATTTATTTTTAGCCTGCCGCATATGTGTAACTTCAAGCAGGCTTTCTCTGGTGGATCTTTTCATCGTATTAATGGTCTTCTTTGCAACACTGCCAAGTACCATTCAGTAATTTGCTTTGTTCTTCTCTCACTCATTTTCGCTACATAATTAGTACTTTCTTTGGGCATACACTGCCTTAATATTTCAGCTATTTCCTGTTAATAACTGAACAGCAATTAGTTCTACCAAAATTCTGTGGAAGTGTCAGCCTCTCAAGGTATCATGACCTACAGATGAACTTGTAAAATACTTCTAAGCAGTCCGCATGAGATCTTCACTACACGTTAGTAAAGGAATTGTAGCGAGCACTTTGTCAAGCACAGAATGGCTTCATTGCATTCCTTTTTAGCACCCACATACTACGTACCATGGATTCAGCAAAAATCTCGTTGAAAATCCGGTCCTGCATCCGTCTGTATTATACTAAGTCACACAAAACGTTTC